CGCCCTTGAGTTGGTTCTGACTCATACTGACCCTGTATAGGGTTTCCAAGGAGCGACTGATGAGTTGGAACGGCCAACCTGGTGGTTCAAACTGACCCTTGCGGTTGAGTGCTTATCCTACAGCACCACACGAGGACTCCATTCTAAATTAGGTTTACACTTATTAAGATACTACTCAATTCAATCAACATCATGAAGAATCCACTGCACATCAGCATTCAGACAGCAAACACTGGGCATAAATTATTTCATGAATAATTAAATATTATATTAAAGTATTTTACCTGGATTAGATGAGGCAATGCTTTTAGTGTAAGGCAGAACCAAATTCCCAGCTTACATGGAAGCAAATCATGCCATTGTGGTTTTGTCAGCAATCTAAAGGAAAGAAATAGAAAACTTTCAAATAGTGAAATATAGAAAATCAGGAAATTAAACATTTTTATAGACATTATGAATTCTTTTTCTTAATTCCTACTACAATACAAACGGAAGAAATTATTTAATGAAATACAGATGCCAGTTATTAATTTAATCATATTATATCAAAACATTCAGTAGTTATAAAAATGTAATAATGTAAGCATGTATGCGAATGTAAGGTAAAGTCTTACGCAGAAACAAGCACCTTGTCACAGGAATAAAAAGAAAAGTCTTCTTTTTAACCTGGACTTTTCATCACTTCAGTAAAATCATTTCTTAAACCCTTACGATGATTTCGGCTATGAAAGGCTAGCTATCATCAGAGTGTCCCCAAGTGCTGATAACCAGATATGAGGACTACAGCATAAACAAACCAATACATAAAAATTAATGTCATTTGCACTACACTGAAGCATTACTCACTGATGTCATCAGAACAATTTCTGGTCTCCATCCATCCCACATTGATCCAGTTCATGCCCTGCTATTTAAACTGTTTAAGAGTCTTTATTTCTTTCTATGAATCAGTAGAAGAAATGCTGGCATCTTTTAGAGTGTATTTACTACAGATTTGCATATTGTTACTCCTGAGCTAAGTATTAAAAGTGGCAGATTCTTCTACTAACGCTTTTCTTTGGAAGTTTATTATAAAAACTTCACACTCTTTAGAATTTGGTGTTTACATTATTTAAATACATATTAAGGCTTAATAAGGGGGAAAATCTGAAATTTTTACGTAGCATTAGTTTTTTAAAATAAATTATGGCACATAATTAGCTTTTAATAAAACTGCTACAGATGTAAATGCTAGCAAATATGAAGTGAATATTAATATGACTTAAATCATATTTACATCAAAAAATTGTCAAATTATAAAATATTTTCATACACTCTCACCTTTCATTTTTTTCTGAAGCACTGAGTTTTGATGAATCCACACTCTTGCTTCCTGTCTTTTTTTTCTTTTCTCTCTTTTTTCTACTAAGCAGCTCATCCTTAATGTAGAAAAATTATGGTTACAGGTTATCATTAACATGTACCATTCAAATGTTATCAAGACTCTTCTGTGAAGGGTAAACATTATAGAGGAACATTTATGCAAATGTATGTAGGGGCCAACATGATTAAATAAAATCATCAATCTTTAACAATAACTGTTGCCATGGTAGCCAGTCCTTAAACACACATGAAGTTTAGCACTGTCAGTCATGTGTATCTCCATAGCAATCAAAGTTTCCTAAGCAGAGAAAGCATTCAACTTACTTTTTCTCATTATTCAACTTCAATAATGCCACTTCAAAAAGAAAGAATGAACAGGTGCTAATTTATCAATACTGACAAATGTTTGGTTGTCTCCAATAAAGAAACAAATATCCATATCACAATAATAGACTGCAGAGCAGTATATTACATTAAGGAGAGCATAAAAAATTTTTTTAACCAACAGATCTCTGAAATTATACAATAATACTCATTTATACCTTATTAAAAAAAAAATTAAGTTGGGAGGTGAAAAGGAAGAAAACATGGAGTCCTGGTGTGGGGCTGTGAGTTAATGCGCCAGAACTGCAAGGTTGGCAGAGTTCAAGCTCACCAACTACTCCTTGGAACCCCTATACAGGGTCGCTATGGGTCGGACCTGACTCGATGGCACATAACAACAACAACAACCACCTTCTAATTTTCAGCTTGATATTTAGGCCTTCACAAAGTTTTATAATATGCAAATGCAATATTTAAAAATAAAGATTTTTATTCTTATTTCATAAATTTCTCATCACTTACAAATACAGGTAGCCCCCAGATTGTAAACGAGATGGAACAGGTGCATGTGGTTCTTGTTTAGTCTTACTTTAATGCTAGAAAAGGCTCAAGGTCTTCTCAATGATTCAAAAGTTGAACATACAGCAAGTGAAGAAATTGTTACAAGTAGAGGTTGTTTCAATTGAGTAGGAGTTGGTACAAATGTTTCAAAGTGAGCACAAAATAACATAACTTCAAAGAGCAACTATGAGCTATTCTTAAAAGAGCTCTGGTAGCATAGTGGTTACGAATCAGGCTGCTAGTCTCAAAGTCAGCAGTTCGAAATAACCAGCTGTTCTGTGGGAGAAAGATGAGGCTTTCTGCTACTGTAAAGATTTACAGCCTCGGAAACCCTGTACAGGGTCGCTATGAGTTGGACCCGACTCCACGGCACAGAACAACAACAATGAGCTGTTCTTAAGTCAGACATTCATAACCTAGGGACTGCACACTGAATGAAAAATTATTAGAAAGGAGTACATAAAAAATGTTGAAAATTTTACAGATTGAAATGAACTGTTTGGAGTTTCATATAAAATAAAGGATAATAGACCATTTGATTTATTTCCAATACTTACCAGTTGTTTTTCCAGGTAGATTGACCAAACCACAGCATAATGACCCACTGTGAGAATAATGAACAAGAGTAATGCCAGCTCAGCATTGCTCATTTTTCTCACCCGCCTATAGTAGAATACAGGCTGCCGCCAATCTGGAAGTCCATTGATCAGAATATCATCATACCTACAGTAGCAAATATAAGAGTTTTTCACAGGGAGTTTAAAATAAAAGCAAAAAAAAACCCCCCAAATTTAATGGTTCCATATTTAAAAACACTTTCTCCATAACATTTAATATTTATATAAATTTTTTACAAATAACAATGTCTAGTAAATTCAAAACATTGTATATAGATCCAGGGACAGATAACCTTGTAAGACAGTAATCTACTGTTAGTACCAGAGCTTGTGTTTTCACATAACCCCTGTGAGGTGAGGCCTGGAATTATACCTAAACTACAGGAGCCATGTACTGTATAATATAGACTCCACCACACATGCCTTAACAAAAGTAAAGGTCTCAACTGGGGGGAAAATCAAGGTAAGATTTCAATTTTCCCCCCATGGTTTATACAGTAATTGAATCACAAATGCAAGATAGATTTTCTAGTAAGTGCTTTTATCTCTGTCCCCATAACATGGTTCAAGATGGAAATATTTATACATATTATTTATAAAAACTTTTCAATGAGGTCAAAGCCTAAGAACTGAGCATCATTTAATTCTGTATTGCTTACATTCTTTTAAAAAACAAAAGAATTCCCAAATTAGAAAGAGAAGTAGGGACAACACATGTTCATGTCAGATTTCTCAATAAAACTGCTTATTTGTAAATATTTAAGTCCTTTTTTTTTTTTTTTTAGGAGAACATAAAATTACATACTTCCCTAGTAATACATCTTGAGTCAGCTTTTGTGCTACTACTGGGCTGGTATAAAGTTGCGACTGAATTAAAATTCACCTGCCAGACAATTATCAAGGCAAATATTTCTGAAGTTAAAAATGAGACATTTACAAGGTAAAATTTAAAATGATCACACGCAAACATTGTATGTTCAGCACACATAACCTGTTAATCTTAGTTGAACATAAGTAATTAAATATTCTAATCACACTATTTCTAGAATTAAATCTGCACTGAAAGGCCTAATTTGGTGCAACACATTGACCAAAATATTTTAATTAAAAATATTCTGAGTTAGTTGCAGGCCTAATTACAGGAATAGAAATAGGGCCTATATTGTCAGGCAGGTCAGTAGAACTCAGTAGTAGGTTTTTCTCAAGTAAATTGACCGATCTAGGAATAATAGCGCAGCTGCTAAACTGCCAGTCTTGACATGTAAATCAATTTAAATGCAACAACTGCAGTAGCTACTTTGATAGTTATTAAATTGATACCTTGGAGATATGCTAAAAAAAATAAAACAGAGGGTTTATTATAGGCAATTCCCCTTCCCCCCATATAAAAATACTGGCTATAAACACAAAATAAATTTTATTAGCAAATCTAGAAAACCTGACTTTTAAGTCAACTTCAGTTATTAATAATAACATGAGATCATAATAACTAATGTTTAAGGTAAAAAGTATTAATTTGTACTACAGTTATAAAGGGCAAATTAATTGAGCAATGTACAAGAACCTACAAATTAAAATATGGATGTAGTAGATGGGCCAGATAATTTTTTATGTTAACTATTTTCCTTTAAAAATATTTATGGCAATTCTTAAACATTAATATGAGAATATAGTAACATGATTTTATAAAAATTTTATAAAAAATTCCTGTCATCAACTATATATGCTTAAATCTATCTTAAGAATAGACTTGTATTAAATTGGAAATTGATTGGTAAAAAGATTTCCAGTGGCAAACACATTATTAGAACATATGATGGAAGTCCAGTAAACATTAAGTCCTGAATTTATTCTAAATTCATATTTTATTTCAAATTTGTTGAGTGAGGAAGAAAAAGTAAATACAAAAGAAACATTATTTCCAGAAAATCTCTCTCATGAAATAACTTCATGTAAAAGTATTGTATTAATAAGGAACATCTAAGAAAGTGGCAACAATCCTAATAGCGTTATTAAGCATTAGCTCTAAACTGTACTGCAGGAAAATACAGCTGAACTCATAGCTAGGAATCTCAGATCAAATACTTCATCATCATTACTGAAAGTGCTACTTTCCACCCCACAGACAAATTGTAGTTAGGGCACAGCCAAATTCAAGATAGCAAAACTTCATGCACTAAATACATTAAACAGAACTAGATATTTACTAGGTTATATATGCCACTCTAAACAACAAGTCTCTAAGAATTAAGTTTAGAATCAATGTTCTATTGATTTTACTATCTATGAATATTGTGGTTCACACAACTAGCCATTTTAAGGGACGATAGCTTCTATTAGAGCTCAATTTTAAGAATATATACTGTTAAAAGGCTGCATACACTGTTTTACTGAAGAAAACTTGAAGAAATAATGAAATTTCTTAATATAGAGATGAATATAATGTTGACAAATTATTTAAGAAAAACACTGCATTGACAACATATAAAATTTAAAACATCACTATATTATACATTTTCTATATTAGTATTTAAACATATAAAACAGTTAAAATGTTCTGTAACCGTCATACCAACAGCTTTTAACTACTTATTAAAATCAGATTAAGAATGCATGTGTGTACGAATGATCGTTACAAATATATATACAAGTAAATCTCTATGATAAAAACATTACTAATGCAAAAAAAAAAAATCACAGGTTTAGATACTATTTTAGAAATTAAAACATAAACTGATGAAATACCAACATATGGCATGCTTATTTCATTTGATTTTCTTTGAATATACAGGGTGAACATAAAGTAATAGTCTCATTAGTGAGCGTCATACTATAATCTGTAATTCACCATCTATATCTAGCCTTTTAGATAAAAACTGGAGAACAAATAAAATTTTCTTTACCAGCAAGGAAAAAAATGTTATGGAAACTCAAAATAGCATATTTTGAAATACAAGATAGTAAGATAGCAACTAAAATAGAAAATTTATATCTTATGAAAATGAGAACTGAAATAATTTTACCTAAATTACAAATTTCCCATCATAGAATGCTTAAATTATTATCTTAAAAGAATAATAACAATTAAACTTCCAGTTAGGTCACATTTTGAACTTCAGAGTAAAAGTACACAATCATTATCAGAAACACTCTCTCCCTCTTTCTCTATGCTGAGAATTGTGATGCAGAGCACTTTTGACATTGAACGTAATAGATGGATCGTTCGACATTGAATATAGTAGATGTACTGTATCTCCTAATCATAGATTAGAATAAAAGGTGTTAAAAATATTTATTTTTAGATTAATGTTTATTTTTATTCAAACATATCTGTAATCAAATTTAAATAACCGGTGATAGATCTGTATAAGTTTAACAGATAAAGGCTGACATATTTTAACTACATTTACAAACAAACATGATTTTATTTAGTAAACCAAAATATTCATTCATTCAACTTTGACAAGCATAGCAACATAAAATAGAGTCAACTTTAAGGCTGCACAGCAAAGGAAAACTGATGAAACATTGATAACAGATATTTAAATAAAAGTAAATATGTTATTATTGGAGTCCTGGTGTGGCTCTGTGGGTTTAATGCACTGGACTGCAAAGTTGCTCTGAATCGCAAGGTTGGCAGTTCAAGCTCACCAGCTGCTCCTCGGAAACTCTATGCAGGGTTGCTATGGGTCGGAACAAACTCAATGGCACTTAACAACAAAATATTATAAATTTTGTTATAAATTATAAATAATAATGCATTATATATACCTATAGTGATTAGTTTCTATCTACTCGGTAATTTTTTTTGGCTAACACTCAGGGTACTATATAGAAGTTTATATCACAATACAGATAGGCTGTTGTTCTCTCAAACAGGCAGGCTAACTATGCAGTTTTTAAAAGGCATATTAACCAAGAAAATCTGTGTATTTCTATGATATAGTTATGCTTTTGGTGGTGGTGGTAGGGAGGGGGTTTTGTGGGGCTAAAGTTTATTTACAATTGCACTCCTAGGCTAAAACCCAAGTGAAATGTAAACATATGTCCACACTAAGAACTGTATGTGCATATTCATTGCAACATTACTCATCATAGCTAAAGTGTAAAAACAACCCAAATGGCTATCAACTGGTGAATGGATAAACAAAAAGTGGAATATTTATACAATGGAGTATCAAACTCACTGCCAAGGAACTGATTCAGACTCATAACAATCCTATAGGACAAAGCAGAACTGCTCCGTAAGATTTTCTAGACTGCAACTTGTTACAGAAACAGGCTGCTATACATCTTCCACCAATATGGAAAGGGTGATGGGTTCAAATCACCAACCTCTTGGTTAGCAATCAAATGCTTAAAGCACTGCACCATCAGGACTCCTTAACAGCTTAGTTTCTATGTTGTTTTTAAATGCTTTCCAGATAGCTCTAATTCAGAGTGACTCTGCACAGGGTTTCTAAGGAGCGGCTGGTGAGTCTGAACCACCGACCTTGAGGTTAGCAGTCCAGTGCTTACCCTAAAGAGCCACACCAGGAATTCAACAGAATATTAGTCAGCAATAAAAAAGAAAATATTGGTATGTGCTACAACATAGATGAACCTCAAAAACATAATGCAAAGAGAAAGATATCAGATGCAAAAGAAAACCAATTAAATAATACCATTTATATAAAAAGTCCAGATAAGAAATTTATATATAGAGAAAGCAAATCAATGATTGCCTGGGTTTGAGGGACACAGGAAGGAGGTTGCCTATAAATGGACTCAAGGGAAGTTTTAAAGCAATAAATATATTCTTAAACTGAATTTTGATAATGGTGACATAACACTGCAAGTTTACTAAAAAAAAAAAAAATCACTTAAAAAAGGTATCACAAGTTTATTTTAACTATTTTATTGCTATTCTCTTTTTCAACCAAAATTTAAAGAACATATTTGATTTCAGTGAAAATAAAATTATATATAAGGGAAATAAATAGGCAAACATATCTAGGGCAATTTTCTAAATTTTAAATTACTATATGGCTATAAATTTAATACCATTTCTTTTATGAGCGTTTATAATACTTAAATAATTGTGATACCAAAGAGCATTTAAAAAAACAATCAGAATGAGATGATCTTTCAGAGGTAAAACTGCCCATATGTCCTCCCTCAAAGAAACGATAAACAATAGGTATCTGTCTGCAGAAGTGAGTTTTCCTATATGTTTAAATACTCATAGGTCAACCAGCCTCAGGCACATGCTTTGGAGAAGTGATTCTCAGCTTGATTAGTTAAGATTTTTGCCTCAAGGAAAACCAGTTACCAAGGAGTTACTTATGCCTCAAGGGGTATAAATACTACCACTGCTTGCTTAACTGTCAGATCCTTTTTTTCTACAATGTCCCTAAAATAAAGGCAAAGGGAACTAATTCTAAAATATGTTAGATGAGTCTTTGCTAATGAAGAAACATTATATAAGAAATTATATAAGCAATAAAAAGAAAGTAATGAAAGGAATTGTTGCAAAGTTTACTGACTTTCAAAACAAACAAAAGGGCAAAATTTGATGCCAAAGATGTTGGGAGACTAAATAAAGCTATCTTTTAGACACATTCTTGATTTATGAAACAAAACTAGGGGCTCACTGAGAGAAACCAACTAAAAAATATGCACAGAATGACCAATACTTCTTTCAACGCATTTTTAGGGCTCTTTCAACACTATGGATTATCTCAAATCAGAGGAATGTCTGCTATGGTATTTGTACCAATGCCAGGCCTATAAAGAAAAGAACACTTCCAGGCTATCTTCAATCCATGCTTTGCAATCTGACAAACTGATGTATTCCAATTAAAGAGTTAAAATAAAAACTAACACAACTAGCTAACGGTTTAGAATAATAGAATAATTCAAGATAATACTTTTGAAGCAGTTCGGAATGTCATATATCAGTGTATTTTGGGGGCGGGGGGAGTGAGTGACTTTATGATGTATTAGTCTCCACAGAAAGACACAGATTTTCAGGCTGACTTTAGTCAAAAATCACAAATTACTCTTTTTTTTTAAGTACTCTTTTACTCTAGAGCAGCATTTTTTCATTCTATTGATGATGGACCATTAGTGCCTCATGGAATCATTTTAATGGATCAAAACCAGTCCTATTTGAAAAACAAAACAAAACTCTATACTAGCTTAGTCAACTTTACTCAGACAATAAGTATTTGTAAAATGTGTGTTTCAGTTCTCTGTGTGTGTGCAAATTAACTGTAGAATGATGCAAACTGTATTTCTTATGGTGGGTCTGAGCTGTAGTCCTTTGCAGTATTGTCTACATTCAATACATCTGTATGAGTAAGAAAAAGGGCTTCTCTGAAATGTCTTCTGAAATAACTGGCACTATACACTACTATAAGGAGCTCTGGTAGCGTAGTGGTTACGAATCGGGCTGCGAACCTTAAGGTCTGCAGTTCGAAACTACCAGCCGCTCCGCGGGAGAAAGATGAGGCTTTCTACTCCCGTAAAGATTTACACCCTCGGAAACCCTGTACAGGGTCGCTATGGGTCAGAACCGACTCGACGGCACTTAACATACACTACTATAAGGAGCTCTGGTAGCGTAGTGGTTACAAATCGGGCTGCAAACCACAAGGTCAGCAGTTCGAAACTACCAGCTGCTCCGCGGGAGAAAGATGAGGCTTTCTGCTCTAATAAAGATTTACAGCCTTGGAAACCCTGTTTAGGGCCACTATGGGTTGGAACCAACTCCATGGCACATAACATCAACAACACAATGCACTATTATACCAATATATCACTACTCTTCTGAAAGGGACACAGAGAAATCTGAGAGCAAGGGGGCTGCCTCTACTCTAAAGTCTAACTCTAAATGCACTGGAGCACAGTAAGAAAAGGCAAGGAAGTACAATGAACAAGAGACAGAAGCAAAGAAAGGTATTTCTTCCATTCCTATCTTCTACAAATTTACACCAGTCTATTCTCTCTCAAATGGGTTTATTATTTCAAGAGTGAGGAAGCAATAAGAAAAGACACTAAACTGAATATCACTAATTACCTAATTCCAAAACAGTGAAGGAATAAGGAAAACAACAACAAAGCAACCCACCTAGCCCAAGTAGAAGTGTTCACTGACAGATTAAAAATAAGCGATAATTTGTTTGAAGTTGAGTTGTATTTGTATTTCACAGGCATAGGTACCTAAGTTAAAAATCTTTTCTAATGAAGCCGTAAATTGCTAGCTTTATGACTCATGATCCTGAAGCTTGAAGTATTGAATCATCTAGTGAGTGTTTTCAATAGAAATTAACTCAGCTCTAAACACAGATTTTTAAAACATTGTACTTCTTTGAAATAACAAAAATAAATACTAACTTATAATAAAATGTTTATGAAGACTTTGAATTTTTACCTTCAAAAACTGATGAAAATTTGAATTAAATTAATGCATTTCAATTCAAAAGAAGAAATAAACACTCACCTCTGCCTCCGTTCATCATCTTTTAAAACTTCATAAATGGCCACCAACTAAAATAGAAGCATTACTTTAAAATAAAAATACTCAAATATAAAAAATTACTTAGGAGTATAGTGAAGGCATCAAAATGCACATGCACAGAACCTTATATAATATTCTTATTTAAAAATGCTGGGGAAATTCTTATTTAGTAGAAAACTGAATAAAAATGCACACATATACATTCTGTTTTTCAACTATTACCTCATTTTCTAATGTAAATATTTTACATAGTTCTACCATAAACTTACTTACTCATGCATTTGTCACAAAACATACATAATAACCAAATATTCACTTACTTGTCTAAATTGAGTTTCTGCATTTTCATCTTTATTCTTGTCTGGATGTAAAGTTAGTGAAAGCTTACGATATGCTTTTCTGATGTCTGCAGATGACGCATCCTGAAGTGGTGGGGGGAGGGGAAAACACAAAGCAAACTTTGTCAGAAAAAAGAAATTCCCAGAACCTTGTTAAGGTCTGAGAAGACAGCCAACCAAGTGCAGGACCTGAGGCGATGTAATTTGAGCAATCAGTCTAACAACCAGGCTATGCAACTAGCCGGACCCACATGACTGAACAATTATTCAATCTAATTTGGCTCTCCTCTTAACTTTTCATTACCATATAGTCATTGAAAGAAGACAGTACTTGCCAAAACTTTTCAAACACTTACCTCCCTAAAATTAACCAATAAATCTTTTTTGGTAATTAAGAGATAAAAAAAAAGAAACAAATTAAAAATTAATATATCTGCCTGTCTTCAAAGAAAGTCTTGGTTTATTTGAGAATTTTAAAGCCAATTTCTGAATTTCAGGCTTACAACATGAGATTTCTTCAGCCTATAGATTCTCAGTTTCACGTATCAAAAGCATGCCTATTTGAAGACAGTTAAGTTTGTATTTATCCAAAATAACTATAACTAGAAAGTTATGTATGCTGTACTTGACATGTTTTTACTTCCTTAAAGAGTGTTTCCAATGTTGTCCAGCTTCCCTAGTCTAGTTTGAAGAAATACATTACCTATAAATAATTAATCCAGTATTTATTACTGTTGCTGTTAGTTGCCACTGAGTCCATCCAACTCTAAACATAGTATATTGTTGTTGTTAAGTGCCGTCGGTCGAGTCGATTCCGACCCGTAGCAACCCTGTATAGGGTTTCCGAGGGGCAGCTGGTGAGCTTGAACCTCCTACCTTGCAGTTCAAACAGCTTTGCAGTTTGGTGCATTAAGTGCATTTTAAAAGTGATGAAAGTTCATTAGGAGTATCATGTTGTTGTTAAGTGCTGTCGAGTTGGTTCCGACTTATGGCGACCCTGAATGAGGTTTCCAAGGAATGGCTGGTGAGTTTGAACTGCCGATCTTGTAGTTCAAACCGACATTGCAGTCCAGTGTTTTATCTCACAGTGCCACACAAGGACTCCAACAGTACCTTCGTTGTTAAATGCCATCAAGTCAGTTCTGACCCATAGTGGCCCTGTATACGGTTTCTGAGGAGTGGATGGTGAGCTGAAACTGCCGGCCTTACAATTCAAGCAGATCTTGCAGTCCAGCACATTAACCCACAGCTCCACACAAGGACTCCAGAATACAAATTTAGTGTTCGGGGAACAGACAGAGTATCTCAGATATGTGGATATTAAAATTACATTTTATGTCATTTTGTGTGCACAGCTAAAATCAGAGAACATTAATCTACATGGCCAGTAGAAATAAGTGACAATAACAACAAGGAACACACTGTTAAAGTGGGACTTACAGTTTACTCTCTACTAAATGTAAAAGATATTTAGTAACTAACGTTTCCATGTTGGGGAAAAATGATAGTATAGATGCTTATTAACAATAATATTGTTGAAAAACTCTCTTTAACCCTTAAATTTTGACATTTTTGTTTATATATTTTGAGACTTTATTGTTAGGTCCATGTGTATTTATTATTGTCATTATTATATCTTTAAATAATTTAGACCAAAACAGAAAAGGTCATAAAATATCTGGCTCATATCACCATATGGACATTTGAATTCGTGCTTTCAAGAAGGTTTATACTGTATTAACATTTAAAGTTAATTATAGGAAACTCATCATGGTATCTATGATTTTCCTCACCCGGGTGATGTACATCTGTCTTTGTCTTGTGTTTATTCTTTAGAGTTAATAAAGAATCCTTACACATTTTTTAAAAGTTAATTATAACATTTTTTTTTTAACTTAAGAGGATTCCAAATGAAGCAGTAACCAAATTAATTCATGATGCTTTACTTTTTAAAAACCAAAGAAGAAATCACAAGGCAAATTAGACAATAATATGAATGAAAAACTAAAACATATAAAAGCTTTCTGGGTATAGCAAAGAGAGTACTCAGAGGGAAATGACTATATTAAGAAAGATGAAAAATTTAAGTAAATAATGGAAATTTCCCCTTAACGAATTATAGAAAAAAGAGCCCACTATCCCCAAAACGGAGTACTGGTGTGGCACTGTGGGTTAATGTGCTGGACTGCAAGGTCAGTTTGAACTACAAAGTCAATGGTTCAAGCTTAACAGCTGCTCCTGAGAAACCCTATACAGGGTCACTATGGGTCAGAACCGACTTGACAGCACTTAACAACAACATGCCCGAAACAAGTAAAAGAAAGGAAATTGATAAATATTAAAGTAGAATTAAATGAAATATAGAACTGAAAAACAATGGAATCAATAAACTTTGTTCTTTGAAAAGATTTTAAAAACTAAGAAACTCTGGTAGCGTAGTGGTTACGAATTGGGCTGCAAACCACAATGTCAGCAGTTCGAAACTACCAGCGGTTCCATGGGAGAAAGATGAGGTTATCTGCTCCCATAAAGATTTACAGCCTTGGAAACCCTGTTCAGGGTCACTATGGGTCAGAACTGACTCCATGGCACTTAACAACAACAACATAGCCAGAATAACCAGGAAAAAGGCCAAATAAAAAAACCCACACCTACTGCTGTCAAAATGAAGGAATGTATCCAAGGAAGAAGTCCAAGTTACACTGAAAGCACTAGCAAAAAAACAAGGATCCGGGAATTGACAGTAGGCAAACGAAAATGTTTCAACAAATGGATACAGCACTGGAAACACTTGTCTATGCCATGAAATCTGGAATACAGTTACCTGGCGAACTGATTAGAGGAGAGTCATATTTGTGCTCATTCCCAAGAAAGGTGGCCCAATCGAATGCAGAAATCATCAAACAATATCACTAATATCACATGCAAGTAAAATTTTGCTGAAGATAATTTAAAAATAGTTACAGCAGTATGTTGACAGGAACAGCCTGAAATTCAAGACCTGATTCTGATGAGAATGCCAAACAAGGGGCAATATTCTTGCTCATGTCAGAGAACACTAGAAAGAAGTTTACTTGTGCTTTATTGACTATGCAAAGGTGTTTGACTATGTGGATCATGTGCTGAGCAAATAATCCAAGAAGCTGGGTTATATGAAGAAAAATGCAGCATCAGGATTGGAGGAAGACTCATTAACAACCTGCGACATGCAGATGATACAATCTCGCTTGCCAAAAGTGAAAAGGATTTAAAATACTTACTTTGGTATGGGTTGCAACTCAATGTAAAGAAAACACAATCTTATATGGAGAAAATTCAAAAGAATCCACAGAAAAACTATATTAGAGCTAGTAAATGTATTCAGCAAAGTTGTAAAATACAAGATTAACATACAAAGATCAGTTCTTCTTCTAAATAGCAATGAAAAAGCTGAAAATGAAATAAAAACAATTCCATTTACAACAGCATCAAAAAGAACAAAACACATAGCAATAAATTTAACAAAATAATCATACCACTTGTAAACTGAAAACTACAAAACATCAAAGAAAGAAATTACAGAAAATCTACAAAAATGGAAAGACATTCTGTGTTCACTGGAAGACTTAGTATTGTTAAGACGGTAATACTTCCCAATTAACCTACAGATTCAACACAATTCCTATAAAAATCCCACCTGGCATTTTTCAGAAATTGGCATGCTGATCTTAAAATTCTTATGGAAATATAAGGGATCCAAAATAGCCAAAACTACATTGAAAAAGACAAAGTAAGAAGACTCATGCTCCAATTTCAAAACTAACTACAAAGCAACAATAATCAGAACAGAGTGGTACTGGTAACAAGGTAGAAATATAGACCAATGGAGACAACTGAGAGTTCAGAAATAAAATCATTACATCTGTGGTCAAATGATTTTCAACATGGGTGCCAAGACCATTCAACATGGAAAGAACAGTCTTCTCACAAATGTTATTGGGACAACTGGATATCCTCTTGAAAAAGAATGAAACTGGACCTTATTATCTCACACTGTATATAAAAACGAACTCAAAAGTGACCAAAGGACTAAATTTAAGAACTAAAACTACAAAGCTTATAAAAGAAAACATAGGTGTAAATTTACATCACCTAAAATTTCACAATGGATTCTTAGGACACTAAAGCAAAAGCAATGAAATGCTAAAACAATAGATATTAGAGTTCAAAAACACTCAGAACTATTTTACATCAAAGGATGCTATCAACAATATGAAAAGACAACATACAAATTGGAAGAAAATGTTTGCAAATAATATATTTGATAAGGGTCTAGTATCCAGAACATATAGAGAACTTTTCAAGTTCAGTAATAAAAAGACAATCTAATCTACTTAGAAAGTGACAAAGGGCTTAAATAGGCATCTCCCCAAGGATGATATACGAAGATAAGGAAAAAAAGTATTGCGACAAAATTATAGAAACCTTTATTAAACAAAAATATCAAAATGTGACGATAGTTTCTCAACATATCCTTTAAACAGGTCTACATACTTCTGAAGGCAGTGTTTCCATTTTTCTAACCGTTACCCCAAAGAATTCTGTGTTTCTTTATTTACACCACATTAAAACAGCAATTTTGGCATCCTCAAGGGATTCAAATTCTGTTCTTTGAGTTTGGGAACTAAACGGATGAGATCAGGGCTATAGGATAAATCAGGTAATGTTTCCTAACAAAATTCTCAAAGGACCAGCCCTTGATACACTCAAAGAATGAGCAGATGCATTGTCTTGATGAAAAAAAAAAAAATTTCTCTGTGCAGCCTTTTCTCACTAATTCAGTTTTAAAATGTCTTAAAAATTCTTCACAATACGCCACTTTGATAGCTCCATGTCCTTCAAGATCTATCAAGGATTATCCTTTAGGAATCCCACCCCCCACACACAAAAAAAAACAACAATAAACAGTTGCCATAACTTTCTGAGCTGACCGATCTGCCTCAAATTTTACTGATCTAGTAGATCCTCTGGAAGCCACTGTTTTAATTGGACTTTTTTTTCAAGGTATCCTAATAACACTATAAGACAAGTGCATTACTAAGAGA